GGAACCAGGCCAGAGCCAAGCCACCGATACCCAACTCAGAGAGCCTCCCCAGGAGGATACCGTGGTCAACGGTATCGAAGGCTGCCGAGATGTTGAGGAGGACCAACAAAGATATTTTACCCCTGTCGGCCTCCCTCAACAAATCATCGTACAGGGCGACCAATGCCGTCTCTGTACCGTGGCACAGCCTGAAGCCCGACTGAAATGGATCCAGGGCATCTGTTTCATCCAGATGTGCCTGAAGCTGGTCAGCCACCACCCTCTTGACCACTTTGCTCATGAAAGAAACATTGGCGACGGGCCTATAATTGCCAATTTCGTCCGCCGCCAAATTAGGTTTCTTTCTTATGGACCTAATGAGTGTCTCCTTGAGGGCAGAGGGAAACCTGCCCTCAAGGAAAGACCCATTTATTGTTGCTTACGATAAAAATGGATATGCCAGAAAGAGTGGCATGTCCTTTATTTAAGCAACTTAAATTGGATTCAAGTACATTAAAATTTGCTGTTTCCAGACCCTGAAATTCCCTCCCACAGGAAGCCAGGCTGGGCCCATCTTTGTAGCCCTTCCGCAAGCAGCCAAAGACCTTTCTCTTCAGAAAGGCTTTTCTTTAGGGACTGGCAGTCTGAGAGGGGTTTTTCAAATTGGATTGTTGTAGTCTCTTGTTTTTAAATGTTTTTTTCAGCATTAATTTTATTTTTCATTTTTAACATACTTGTTTAAATCTTTTTTTAAAACTGTGTAATTACTGTTTTTAGCTTTTAAATATTGTCCTTTTAATGATATAAGCTACCTTGGGTCTCTTTAAGGAAAAAAAGGGGGATATTTTAAATAAATAAATAGACATAACTAATAGGTTGCGGTGGAGGTCAACTTTGTTGTCCTCTGTGAAGATGCAGGTTCATTTCAGTACATGCAGGGCAGGTCCTTGTTTCTTTAGAAACATAAAGGCAACAGGACAATTTTTTAATCCAGATACCATTTGAAAAAAGCAAAAGCACTGGAAGCAACTTCTTAAAAAGCCATTTCGCCAGCCTCTGGTAAGCCCACTCAGCAGTCAACATTTCAAGACTGTTCTAATGTATGAGCACTGCTGATTGATTAGTTGTGCTCTGCTGTTATTGGGGATGGAACTACTTACTTAATTAATTTTACTGCAGAGTGTCTTTTCCATCTGTCTGAAACATCTCAGTTTCTTTTAAAAACTTTATTTCTACATATTTTTTCCTGAAATCTGCACAAGGTAACTCAAGCACCAACATTTATGGAAAATAGTTACCTTTTTTAGATATCTTCAAAATAATTTTGAGAAAAAAAGACACTGACCTTTATGACAGTTACATCACAAATAATAGATTAAATAAAAATGGAATTCATTCAGTCCTCTATAAAAACTTTCATTTAAAAATATGCTATTAAGCTGTCAACAGAAAATTTCCACCTCAAAATGCATTGTTTCAAAATATTTACCATATTGAATGAATGCAATACAATCAAATTGGACATTTGAGATAAAACACAATGGTCAGAATCCCACTGCCAATTTAGCCTTGTGCAAGGGAAATTGTGCAAATCTTGATAGCAGATTGTTGCTTATTAATATAATACTCAGCTGGCTGGTTAGCTTAGCGGTTTTACTATAGAGCCAAAGATTGGGATTTTGATTCCCTACTGTGCTTCTAGAGAGGAGGCAGCCTGTGTGCTCATGGGCAAGCTGCACAGTCCCAGGATGCCCCCAGAAGAAGGGAAGGGTAAACGACTTCAGAGCACTCTCTGAAAAGGGTGTCCATAAGTCAGAATTGACTTGACGACACATGATTATTATTAATGTAATACTGGTTACATTACTGGGGTACGTCTAGTTATCTTGTGTGATTTCCATCATCCATCAAGTGTTAATTAGCAGTAGGATTATGGCCAACAGAAGTAAAATTTAAAATGATTTTTTTCAGGTACTTTCCAACAATATTTTTATTTCCCCTTAGTTATTACTTTTATCTAATGTATGAAATAGATTTTAAAACTATCTTTCAGGATAAAGTATAACTTTAATGTAAGATCCCATGATTACCGTCTTCCTGGATGATAGTGAAATTAACCCAATATTGCATGCCTCCTCACATTCAGCTATCAAGTCTGATACTAGATTGTGACACTAAACATTTAGAAGTATAATTATAATTTCTAAACAGAGC